CCCCCCAGGCCTCCGGGTCTTGGAATAACCGCTACGACCCCGTGCAACGCGTCTGGGACTGACTGCCCCCCGCCCCCCTCACTCCCGACCTGCAGCCCCCTGCCCCCCAGTCTGGGGGACTGGAGACCCCCACCCCTGCTACCCACAACTCTCTCCTATATATGCATATATGCTAATTAACGGTTCTGATTTGCATGCCGTGTCCCAGCCCCTGAGGGCCCTGCCTCAGTTTCCCCTCCTGGCTGAAGGGGCTGGGGGGGAGTGGGGAACAGTGCCGAGGTGGTCCATCCCACTGCCTTCCCTGTCTGCTGTTACACTTGGCCATTCCCCCACTGCCGCATCACAGAGCTGGCTGCATCTCATCTCTCCCTGTGCACTGTTCTGTGCAGCTGAGGCTCCCCTGCTCCTCCCCAGAGCTGGCTGCATCTGGGTGCCAGGTGAGCCCCCCGCCGCTTGGTGTTTATATGCAGCCGTTCCCTAGCCTCCCTTCCCCAGAGCTGGCTGCATCTTTGGTGCTGCATGCTCCCTTTAAGAGGCAGCATTATATGGTGTTTTATGTGCTATTCCCCAGCTGTTCTACCCCAGAGCTGGCTGCATTTTCAACCCTTGAAAAGCCTTTTCCATATGATGTTATATACTGTCATTCCCTAGCTGCTCCTCCCCAGAGCTGGCTGCATCTTGGTGCTGGATGAGCCCTCTGCATTTGCTGTTATATGCAGCCATTCCCCCAGCTGCTCCACCCCAGGGCTGTCTGCATCTTTGGTGTTGCACGGTTCGTTTATGGGCAGCATTATATGATGCTCTAGGTTGCCAGTCCTCAGCTGTTCCACCCCAGAGCTGGCTGCATCTTGGTGTTGAATGAGCTCTCTAGGGTTAGCGTTATATGGTGTTATAGACGTATGTTCCTTAGCTGGTCTTCCTCAGAGCTGGCTGCATGTCGGCATCACATGAGTCCTTCCCTTGCTGCTCTGTGCAGCTTTTCCCCAGCAGCTCCACCCCAGAGCCGACTGCATCCTAATTCCAGCTGAGTCCTCCCGTCTAATGTTCTATGTAGCCAGGTCCTGAACTCCCCTCCCCAGAGGTGGCTGCATCTGTGACATCCCCAGTCCCTCTGAGGGACAGTTCTAGGGGGCTGGGGCAGGTGTGGAGGGTCCCCAAACACCAAGGTCATGGCAGTGTTATATGCAGCCATTCCCCCACTGCTGCACCCCAGAGCTGGCTGCATCTTGGCACTGGTTAAACTCTTGGTGCTGTTCTATACAGCCCTGGTGTCTCTTGATCCTCCCCAAAGCTGGCTGCATCTCAGCCGCACATGAGCCCTCCCCTCCTCCCCCCTCCGTCTGATGTATGCAGCTGTTCCCCAGGTGCCCTCCCCAGAACTGGCTGCATCTCAGTGCTGGATGAGCCCCCCTGCGGGTGCTGTTCTATGCAGTCATTCCCCAGCTGCTCTACCTCAGAGCTGGCTACATTTTTGCGCCCTTAAAAAGCCTTCTGATAGCGTTGTTCTATCCAGCTGTTTTCCAACTGCTCCATCCCAGAGCTGGCTGCATCTTTGGTGCTGCATGGTCCCTTTACTGGCAATGTTATATGCTGTTCTAGGCTGCCGTTCCTTAGCTGTTTCACCTTGGAGTTGACTGCATTTTCTACCCCTGGAAAGCCTTCTCCATGTGGTGTTATATGCAGCTATTCCCCAGGTGCGCTTCCCCAGAGCTGGCTGCATCTGGCACCAGGGAGCCTGCCTATGCCGTGATCAGTGCAGCCGTGTCCTAGCAGCTCCTTCCCCGAGCTGGCTGCATCTCCCCAGGGTCAACCCCTTTCCCTGGCGCTGTTCTATGAAGCCCACCCCCACCCCCACTTGGTGTTACATGTAGCTGTTGCGCTGCTGCTCTCCTGAACTGGCTGCATCTCGGTGTTGGATGAGCCCTCTGTGCGTGCTGTTCTATGCAGCCATTCCCCAGCTGCTCCATCCCAGAGCTGACTTCTTTGGCGCTGCGTAGTCCCTTTATGGGCAGTGGTGTTACATGCTGTTCTATGCTGCCACTCTCCAGCTGTTCCACCCAGAGCTGGTTGCATCTGGCACCAGGGGGAGCCTGCCTATGCTGTGTTCAATGCAGTCATGTCCTAGCAGCTCCACCCGTTCTATGCAGCCATTCCCCAGCTGCTCCATCCCAGAGCTGACTTCTTTGGCGCTGCGTAGTCCCTTTATGGGCAGTGGTGTTACATGCTGTTCTATGCTGCCACTCTCCAGCTGTTCCACCCAGAGCTGGTTGCATCTGGCACCAGGGGGAGCCTGCCTATGCTGTGTTCAATGCAGTCATGTCCTAGCAGCTCCACCCCAGAGCTGGCTGCATCTCACCCCAGATGACCCCCCC